GGCTGTGGCTGGGACACGAGCCTCCCTCCACGGGGAGCCCCTGCGTGCAGGCTCTTCTTGGGGTAAAAGTCTGTGCTCCCTCCCAACCCAATTTCCACATCTGGGTCCCCGGGCAGCCCCCATACCTGCTGACCCCCATCCTTTACCAGGTTGATGGGCACCGTCTCATAGTCAATGCCTTTCAAGGCCAGGGCTGGGGAGGCCACAGACAGCACAGAGTCAGGGAGAGCCCTTCCTGGGGGGGCGTGAGGCTGCAGAGGGGGCGCCAGCAAACCGTAGGTGCCCCCGGTGGCCCTCTCCCCTTCTCTTGCTCTCCTTGAAGGTCTGTGATGCCCAGCTGAACACTAAGGGGTCTCTGCCCCCTCAATGGGACCCCCGTGTCCCATGCCGTGTGTGGTCCTTCAAAGACGGGCTTGGCCTCAGCAACCTGGCCCCTGTGGGGTGTGCCTCGCCCATCCCAGTCTCACTGGTGGGAGGCCTGCAGATGACATGATATTGTCTGTGGGACAAGTCCCCCAGGAGAGTGACCACATAGCACACACCAGCAGCTGCCTTTTCTGTTTACAATACCCTTCCAGCCTCCTCTTTCTGGCAGCTCTGTCCTCAGACTAACAGATCCCGAGTAGGGCCCTGGGGCTCTGGGGAGCCTGGGAGCATTTGTTGGGACTCAGTGCCCAAACCTCGCCATCCCTAGGGCAGTGGTTCTCAACTTTCCTCATGCTGCGAACTTTTCATACAGTTCCTCATGTGGTGGTGACCCCCCAACCATAAAATAATTTTCGTTGCTACTTCATCACTGTCATTTTGCTACTGTTATGAACCGGGCGACCCCTGTGAAAAGGTCGTTCGACCCCCAAAGGGGTCGAGACCCTCAGGTTGAGAACCACTGCTGTAGGGGTTTTCCTCTGGGGACAGGAGGCCAGTGCGTTTGTTTTGGTCAACCCTATGACTGCGTGCTTGTGTGCTCAAAGTGCCAGGGTCCCCAGGGCAGGGCAAAGCCAGGGCAGGCGGGCAAGAGCAGCTGGTTGAGAGAAGCTGGGAAGGGGCTGCCTCCTCCTCGGCTCCTTCCGAGGCCAGTGCCCCAGCCACGAGACTGCTCGCTGCTGGGGGGGCGGGGGGGAGTCTCCCTGGGGAACTTCCTCAGCACTTCGATCCCCTTCCCTAATGGACTCCAATACATACAGAATGGTTTAAGTGTAGAGCGAGGGATCATGGGAGATGCCTTAGCCACTAGGGCCACGTTCCAAGATCTACCAAAGTCACTAGCTAACCATATGGCCTTGGGCAAAGAGCTCAGAGCGCCTCTGTGCCTCTGTTTCCCTGTGACAGGCAGTGCCGTGTACAGACAGGGACTCTGGGCCCAGACGACACAGGTTCCGGTTCTAGAAAACTGCATGATCTCGGGCCAGTGGTGTAACCTCCCTGTCCCCCGCTCCCTGGTGACTGCGGGTGAAGTAGCATCGTATGCACAGCACAGAGCTCACCCCCACCGTGAGCTGTGTGGTGGTGACTGACTTTCACCCAGGGCTGTGTGGAGCTGAGGGAGGGGAATTGACTCAGAATGAGGCCGAGGGCCCTCGGTTTGGATTCCCACAAACCTCCGGGGCTGAAACCTGTCTTGTTTACTTTGTCCAAGGAAGCTAAGACTGGCCGGGGCAGCTGTTCCCCTGCCAGTTTCCAGGGGCCCAGGGATTGGGAGGCTCCTTTACCCATGGTTGCTGAGGGGCTTTGGAGAGCGGCGTGGGGGCAGGAAACCCAGCCTTGCGGCTCTTTGTTGAACTTCCTGAGGGGGGGGTGGGGGTGGCATTCAGGGATGGGCAGCCAGGAGGCCGAGCCCGCTGGTTGCCCAGCAAAGCCTGATGGTCTGCCTGCCTGCCTGGCACCCGGTTAGTCGCAGGCCAGTTCCCAGTTCCTCTGTGGGCCCTCCTCCCTCACCAGACCCACCCGGGTGTTTCTGGTCGGCGAGGCACAGCTCTTACCAATTCGAACTCTCCAGGAACACGAGCTTCGGAAATAGGAGTAGAGTACAGGCTGAGGAGAGAGGAGAGGGGTGCTCGGTGGGTTCCCGGCCTCAGGAGCCCACTGGAGAGGGGCCACCAGCCCCCACCAAGGTGGTCCCAGCCACCACTGCTGTTTTCCATGTCGCTGGAGCGACTCGGGGCCTGTGGTCACATGCGAGGCCCCTTGCCTTCCCAGTGAGCCAGCATGCATTCCGGAGGCTGGAGGCTCTCCCTCCCCACCCCCTGCCCCGTCCCAGGGGGCAGCCAGCCTGGGGGTGCCTTCTATACCTTGCTGGACTCAGCCATTGTGCCCGTGACCCCGGCGTTCCCAGGAACTGTCTCACAGTATAGTGGGGCAGAGGGAGGAACTATGAAGGGGTGGGTCCCATGAGCCAATGGGGAAGCTGGCGGCTGGGGAACTTTGACTCTGGTCAGAAAGGGCAGAGCTTTCTGACTTTTGGGAATACTTATGCAAATAACACCCAACTTCCTAAAGGATCCAGGTTTGGCATCCCAAACAGACGGGGGGGCCCAGTTTTGAGGCAGCAGGGTGCACACTGCAGTGGGCTGGGAGCACACATCCCTTCCCTTCTCTGGTCAACTTTCTTGTCTATAAAATGAGAGGTTGTCCTGACGGGACAGCCGAGTCCTTCCAGTAGTGGCAGGAGGGCCAGGGAACCTAATTCTCCCAGGCTTTGCTGACCATCTCCTTCAAGCCCTGGCACTCCCTTGGCCCCCTCCCCACAGGCCCCTAGGCCTTCCACAGTTATGTCATTGCAACTAAAGATAAGCTACCAGCCCATCATGAGTTGCCAACATTTCAAAACCAAGGTGTTTCCTGTATGATTTTTGTTGTCTATTTTCACTGTAAAGATCCAGACACAGTGGACATGGTTCCTGATAGCAATGACTGGAGCTGATTTGTGGCATGCCCTTTTGGATCTGCCCTGGTTCTAACCTGGCTCACTTCCCTCACTTTTGCCCAATCCAGGCCCCTGGCAGAAGTTGCATTTCAAGCAACTTAAAAGTTAATTTCCTAGGTGCTTGTGTGATCAGCTGTCTGTGATGGACCACTTGTTTATGATGAGTGGGGCTATGCAAATTGTAACTTGTGGTACCAAGGGGATTGGACAGTTTGCCAACAATGAAAATAAGGTGCATGGCACCTTTTTAGTGGCAGAACCATGTAAATGTGTATGGAACCACAGTGAAGGAATTGGCCGGTTTCGTCATCCTACTAGGATTATAATGGGCTGTCACAGAGGCAAAGATGGCACTACCACCAAGAAGAGATGGGAGCAGTGTGTCCTTTGGACCCTTGTCCCTGTGCTAAGAACCTCTAAGGCCCAGGAGAGTAGGTGCAAGATGGTGAGCAGTGGTAGCAGAGAAATGGTGGCAGCCAAATCTGAGGCTGGTGCTAGTTGGCGTGGCAGGCTTTTCAGCCCATGGGACGAGAGAGCTAAGAGCCTATGGGCAGGAAACTTCCTGACAGAGTGAATACCCCCCAAGTCCTTAGTCTAGGAGTTAAAGAACTTTGGCCCAAGCAGAGTAGAGGCTATGTTGTGGAGCTGAGAGGCCAGGGGCCAGAGAGAAGTTGTCGTGACCAAAGAACTGTATCCCAAGTCGTTCCTGATCTTGAATTATAACCTGTTACTTCCCTGGTGAACCCTGTAATAGTACTGTCTGGGATCTCTGTGTCACCATTGTAATAAATTATTGGTGTCAGAATTGGTAAAAATGTTGGAGGGTAGAGCTATGTTTGACTTCTACCTCCTTGGAATCAGTCTTGGCCTGATTCGGAAAACTCGTGAAGTTGGACAAGGAGGCCTGATGCTGCAACCACACCGTTTTTACATCTGGCCACTTTTGAAAACACATCAGCATTTCAAAGCAGGACTGAGGGCAGAGCCACCATGATTGTAGCTGTTGTACGCTGCAGAGTCTCATAGCGACCCCACACAACAGAGTACAGGTGCCCCAAAGGGGTTTCTGTGCTATTGATTGTTCTCAAAACAATTTGCTAAATTAAACTGGTCAAGTATCCCTCTCATCACCACCCCTGGAAGAGAATGGTTTCCAATCCAATTCTGATTACGCTGCCAGATCTTATTTCAAGCGACTTAACTGTCGCTTAAGTGTGACATTTGAGAAGGATACCTAAAATCCTACTTGGAAACTGCTGACTAGAGTGGCTTTATAGGGCAGAGTCCAACTGCCCACGGGGTTTCCAAGGCTGCTGCCCTTGTGGCAGACACACATTTTTCATCCAAGCAGTAAGGATCGGGAATGGCTGCAGGTGGGTTTAAACCACTAACCTTTCGGTTAACAGGTGGGCTAAGCCACAGTGCCACCAAGGCTCCTGTACAGTATTTGTGGGAGCCGACTCAGCAGCAGGTGGGTTAGCAACCCAACTCCTAAAGTGACCCCACATCCCATCCTTGCAGCTGTTACAACAGTGTCTACGCTTCCGTGCAAAATGAATCTGGGGCGTTTATTCGGATTGCGAACTCCAGGGTCTTGCCTCCACTGATTTGTAAGGTAGCTGAGGGCGGCCCCAGGAGGGAACCTGCTTACTACCCTGGGGAAGGCCAAGTGATTGTGATATGTCACTGGCTTCCCTAGGCCCTAGGGCTCTCTTAGAAAGCAATCGACTGACATCGAGTGCATTTCGACTTAATCTTTTAATAGGATCTGTCGGGCTGACAGGCTGGGAGAGGAGCACCCAGGGCTGTGCGGGAGAGGAAAGGACAGCGTCTAGGGGCCCAGCTAGAGATTAAGGGGAAAGAGAAGGCACAAGAACATTAGCCTGCCCAGCAGGACCGTTCCAGAACATCCAGCCCTCTCCGAGTTCTACCTTGCACGAGGCTCACAAACCAAGGCAGCCAGTGCGCAGGCGCAGAGCGTGACCGGCGTAGCGCGCTGCACGCTGGGAACTGTAGTCAGAGCTGTGGGCCGGAGGAGCGGCTCACTTTTGACCACCCCCAGCCCCACCACCCGAGTTCTTGGAGACCCCGCTTCCCCGCGGATGCGTGGCACAGACCTTCCCGGCTTGCATCTCGCACGTCTAGAGACTCCCTCTACCAGTGCTAGAAACGTCGCGCCTGGAACTCGCTGCGTTCTGCCCCCGGGAAGAACCTTGGCTTGCTCCGCGGTAAAGAGCAGGGTTGGGCTAGAATGACCGTACCTCGCTCTCCCAGCTCGCCCCGAACGGCCGCCACGCCCCCAGCCCCGGCACTGTTGGGAAGTGCAGTTCCTTGAGCCCATCTCCTCTCCGGTCTCGTCCTACCAGTCCCGTCATGCTCTGCGCCACTAGCCGCCTCTCCGCGGCCCCGGCGGGGCCCACGCTGCCCGCCCAGCCCAGAGCCCGGGGCTCCGCGCTCCGCTGCCGGCGGAGGGAACTACACTTCCCGAGCTACCCCGCGCTGCCCTCCTGCGACTTCTTGGCGGGCCGGCTGTCCAGACCGAGCCTGCCGCCGGGCCGCAGGGAGATCCTGAGGAGGGGAAAGATGACGCCCGCCGTGGGCCGAGGCCCGCCCGGGTCCGAGCTGCGCGCCCGACGCGGTCGCTGTGGGACCCAGGCTGCTAGGGCCGTGGTCGCGGACGTGGTCGCCAAGGACGCAGCGCGGAGTCCCAAACGGCCTGCCCAGGGCTCGCGGCGCCTCGAGGCAGCCGGCGGGTGGGCTGTGCTGGCCCTGGTGACGCTGCTGTCCTTCGCCACCCGCTTCCACCGCCTGGACGAGCCAGCGCACATCTGGTGAGTGCTGGGCGGACCTTGGGGGGGACCATGGCAACCGGGAGGGAGGGACGCCGCCCTCTGATTGGCCTGGAACAGGGAGGAGGCGGGGCGGGACCGACGGGTTTGGGGCGGGGCCTGCGGTGGAGGGTAAACTGAGGTTGCACTTTTGTTCTGGCGGGTGGTGGCGGCCTAGGAGCTGGGGGAAGCCGGCAGCGCTCACGTCTTTCATGGTGTTCTGGAGGGCCTCTCCTGCCACTCAGATCATTGTGGTCTTCGGGACAGCTGCTTTGATCTTTGCACTCTTTGGAAATTCTTTATACAAAATTTCCCAAAGCCCGAGTTCTTAGCCTTAAGGTTTTCCAGGCATCAGCAGAGGGGGATATTCCCAGCGGAGTGCCTCAGTGTCCAGGGCCGGTGACAAAGGTTTCAGAAGGAAGGTCTGTGGTTATACTGTGAAAATCCTCGCAGTCAGGTGGAAACTGTTGTTGTGCTGGTCTCTCTCTCTGTTTTGCTGGTGTGTGTGTGTACACACATGAGGTGGGGGCAGCAGTGTCCATGTTTGGCAGCCCTGGTGGTGCTGTCCTGTAAGCTGCTAACTACAGGGTTGGTGGTTTGAATCTACCAATCACTTCCCTGGAGAAAGATGAGGTTGTCTCTTCCGGTAAAGAGTTGCAGCCTCAGAAAACTCAGTATAGGAATCAACTCCATCACTGTGGGTTTTGGATTTTCTTGGTAGCTTTAGTTCAAGGCCAGCCACATCGACATGAGTGTTATCTGTTTTCCTAGTGAAGTGGTTGCCAGCAACAGCTGCCAGTCACCTGTTACTGTTTGGGCCAAGGAGCCAACAGAGGCAAACAAAAAAGCCAAACAAACTTATTGCCCTGAGTTGATACTGATTCATTGCTACCCATAGGACAGCATGGAACTTTCCAAGGCTGTCAGTCTTTACAGGAGCAGGCAGCCTCATCTTTCACCTTTGGGGCAGCTGGTGGGTTCAAACAGCTGACCTCGAGGTTAGCAGCTCAATGTGTAGCCTACTCTGCCACCAGGGTGTGGCCTGGTGAGCTCCTTCCAAAATAGACTATGAAGGGCCTATGATTCCCCAGAGCTGGACATGGCTTTGTTCTGCTGAGTAGAGGCTGACTCGTGAACAGTTAGCAATGAAAACCATTACTGACCCAGGCACAGGCATCAGAGCAGCATGTTCCAACGTGAATGCTACCGCCCCTTGTGGGGAATTGGAATGAAGTGGGTGGGGAGCTTTATTCTAGATGATATAGGCTATAGGATAGAAGGTTTTAATCGCCAGGGGGCTCTTGAGTAATTTTTTCTTTTCTGAAAAGGGGGTAGTGGGGCAGACGGGTTTGAGAACCTATGAGTTAGAGGTCCCCTTGAACTGTGGGTTTGCTTTCGGTGTTGCAGTGGAAGGCAACTGCCTCCAGAGGGGAGCTGCCACTTCCTGCCAAACCAAGATGCACCAGGATGGTTGCCCCCTTGAATGTTGCATTTCCACCTGACAGATATCCCACAGAGGCTTCTTGTTGCCCATGGAATGTAACTGGACCAACTCCAAAGTGGGACTAGCAGGCCAGCACACCTCAAGGCCTTCATCGCTCTGACACTCACTTTCAGCAAAAAAACGAATAGCAGGGTCATCTTACCCACTGCTGCCAAGTGGAGTCGACTCATAGTGTCACTGTAGGACAGAGAACTGCCCCGTAGGTTTCCCAAGGCTGTTGCCCTATGGAAGCAGATTCCCCTGCAGAGCAGCTGGTGGCTCCTAACCGTGGATTTGTCAGCAGCCAAGCACTTTAGCCACTGCATCACCAGGCTCGCTCCAAAACCAAAGACCCCATTCACAATGACCCTATAGGACAGAGTAGAACAGCTCCCTAGGGTTTCCAAGGCCACAAGCCTTTACAGACTGCCTCATCCTTCTCCCGAAGAGCAGCTAGTAGGTTCAAACTGCCCCTCTTTCACTCAGCAGCCCAACGCTTAACTGTTTTTAAAAACAGTGTACTTGGTACCTGGGTCAAGCAGATGGCGCCGTTATCCCGAGGAATTTCCGTCGTGCTGCTGCCATGGGCAACCTCCAGGCCCTTGTGATTTCCCTTTCTCTTGCTGGGATTTTGATACTGCTTCTCTGGACCACCTGGAGGAATAGCAACAGGAGCGGCCTCTTTATAAGCAGCTGACCCTGAACGGGTAATCCTCTCTGGCACTTTGGGAACCAACCAGTTATGTAGTAGTCACAACAGGTCGTCCGTTGACGTCCCCTCAAGATCACTGGAGCTTCCTTTCCTCACTGGGGCTATGGTACAACCCTGTCAGTTGAATTTGGGTGCCCCCCCCCCCCAGACACACACACACACACACACACACACTCACTCTCTCTCTCTCTCTCTCTCTCTCTGACTTGAGCCATGGGGTCTAGTAGGTGTGCTTTAAGGCAGGCTCTTTTTCTCCACCATCCCCTCATTAGCTGGGAACCACTTCCTCCCCAGGGCATTTGCTTGTGTCTGACCAGTGCCCTGGACTCGGTGCTTTTCTTTCGAGCCCTGCATGTGCTGTGGGGGTTCATCTTGCTGCCCTCGGCACCATAGGTCACCCTGCGCCTCGAAAATTCCAGGACGGCAGGGTACAGAGCCATGAGTCCAGGCCCTTCTCTCTGGAGTTTCCCAGAGCACTAGGCTGGCATGTAGTCCTCTTTGGGGACAGAGAGACCTGCGTCCCATCTTTAATCATCTTACTGTTTTTTAGGGGAGCTGGGGCTGTGGTGGAGGGGAGGGGCCTTGGGACATGGAGGGTGGGAGAGTCTGGCACTTTCGGAAAGCACAGCCCCATGGTTGGTTGGTTATGGCTGAGAATGTGCCCAGCAAAACCTTCACACCTGTTCCACCATTTCTCATGTACATTCAGGGCACTGATTCTGTTCTTCAGGTTGGGCGGCCATCCTTTCCCTTCCTGTTCTGAGCTGCTCTGTCCCCAGGAGCGTAAACTTTAGATTCCTGTCTAATCTTTCAAGTTGAGAGCAAGACACTCTTGACTTGAGTCTTGTGGGCAGCTGCACGGAACTTACTCAGTACTTTCATTCTACCCTGAGTGCTGTGTTGAACAGTCGGCCGTTCCTGATGGCTGCCCCCTGGTTTAAGCTTGGCACACTCCCTGATGCCGTAGCAGTGTTGCCTTTTGGCCGGGCTGCCCTGCTGGCTGCCTCATTGTCATGATTTCATCCTTTCCTCCTGCCACCCGGATGAGAGAGCATAGTCACCAAGGCAGCAGACTGGTCCTCCTCTGTCTACTCAGTCTCACAGGTAGACCGTGCAGTGGGGGTCTCTTCCCAGTCCCCTTGCCCACTGCTGGATGCTAGGGAATTCTCTTGAATCCCCTAACTCAGCCCATTGGGACTCTGGTCTATTCTCTTACAGAAAGTGATGTTTCTCAGCATCCTGTACTTGTCACCCAAGCTGCCAGGATCTTGGAATTATTTTACCATACTCGCAAAGCTAATCAATTTATCTGTTTTCAGCGATGTTGCCAGGAGATAGGAGATTCCTGGTGGATCAGAGACGAAGGACTTCCGTTTTTTTTCTCAAGGCCCCACAAGAGGGTAAACATCAGTATGTTGGCATCAGCTCTTGTCCCCAAAGCCCCATGGGATGCTAGGGGCCCAGATGGAGACCTGCACATACCATGGTGGGTCCCATCCCAGACAAGGACCCTTTGGGTCCTTGAGCTTGGGGACTCTGCTGTTGCATAGCAATCAGTAAGTAACTAAGCAAACTTGCTCTTGGTCCCAGAGGGAGACACTGCCTCTTCCTACAGGTCTTACTCTGAGAAAAGGTCGGAGGTCAGAGCTTGCATTCTTGTCACCCCAGCAAAGCACCAGAAGCAGGAGAGCCCCGAGACAGTCGTCCTGCCAGCACACACAGCCAGAGGAGCTGCGAATGCTAGCGCCCATTGTTCCTTGGGGAAACTTTGAAGTAAAAATGCATGGTTCTTAGTCAGTATGTTTCCAAGCCAAATTCAAAATGAGCCAGAATTATTGGGACACTGTGAAAAATGGCCAGCCATTCCGTGATGCTCACCTTCCTAGCATGATCACTGAAGACAACATGGGTGCATAAGCAAATGTGGTGAAGAAAGCTGATGGTGCCCGGCTATTATAAGATACAGTGCCTGGGGTCTTAAAGGCTTGAAGTTAAACAAGCGCCCATCTATCAGGGAAGCAACAAAGCCCACATGGAAGAAGCACACCAACCTATGTGATCATGAGGTATCGATGGGATCAGGTATCAGACATCAGAAGATCCAAAACAATCAACCCTTTTGATGTGAACAAGGGGGGTCGGAATAGAGACCCAAAGCCCATCTGTACAAAGCCCAATTGGACATCTCCTCACAGAAGGGTCACAAGGAAGGGATGAACCAGCCAGGGTGCAGTATAACACTGACGAAACACACAACATTCCTCGACATGCAGCCCCCTCCCCTTCCTTGGGGGATGAACAACAGAAACAGGGGTGAAGGGAGACAGTGGATGGTGTAAAATATGAAAATAAAAATAAATTGTAAATTATCTAGAGTTCACGAGGGCAGGAAGGTGGGGGAGGGAGGGAAAAAAGGGCTCAAGTAGAAAGAGCATGTTTTGGAAACGATGATGGCAACCTATGTACAAATGTGGATGGGCCAGCATGTGAGGTACCCGGCAGTCTACAGTCTCACCCAGGTGAGGAGGTTACCTGAGTGGCGCTGCACTCAGCCTGGGGAGACGCAAGGCAGAGACTGCCTTGTCTTCACTGTCTAGATGGGAAACGCAGGCTAGGGGTGAGCCATTTTTCCAGTCCTGCAGGCAGGTGGTGGCGGCTCCTCCTCTCTTTCTGTAAGTTGGTTTTGTCGCACTGCTTTGGCGTTGCTTCTCTTTGATGTCGCTGTGCACCGTTCTTACCTGTCACCTGTCAAGGTGCAGAAACAGATTCATCCTCTTCCCCATCTCTCGAGATCACCGAGAAGATTCCATCTGGGGGAAAAGCGTGCTTTGTCCCCTTGTGGTAGGTGGGATATGCCCTGGCAGTGGCTAGTCCCCAGAAAGCGTATTTGGCCAGGCCTTCTCTAAAGGCCTGTGTGTGGTGCAAGCCCACCCAGAATGCCTCGGAAGGCAGACCGAGAGATCTGCTACCCCAAGACCCCAGCCTCGAGCACCGGCTCAGCTCTACGCTACTCTCATGGGTTCACCATGAGCTGGAATGAATGTGATGGCAGCAATTAATAACAAGATTTATGTCACAAGATTTATGTGGTTTTGTGGGAGAATGAGATTTCAAATTGCATTTAAAAGCTTACCTTGTCAGCTTAAAAATTTTTTTATTGCATATTTGTGAATTATGCACATTATACAATTCAATAGTTCAATCATCCTGTCAGCTTTTTAACTTGCAAAATAACTTACTTAACTAGGATATGTTTTAGACACGTTACCAATTGAACAAGAAAGCCTTCCATCGTTACGGGGCGTGTTGAGTCTGTTGTGACTTAGAGCGATCCAATCCTCCGTACAAGAACAAAGAGCTGACTGGTCCTGTGCCATCGCCCAGTCACCCCATTGTGACAGCCACTGTGTCAACCCGTCACCTCGAGGGTCTTCCTTTTTTCCAGTGACTCTCTACTCTACCAAACATGATGTCCTTCTCTGTTACCATGGCCACAGTATGTGAGACAAAGGCTCACCATCCTTCCTTCTAGGGAATGTTCTTTTTTATATGAGGGGGTACGTACCCCCCGCAAACCAGATGTGATGTGAGGGGGATAGTGCATTTGGAGTTCGTTCTACCAGGTTAGACTGGTAGTCTAGCTTTCTCTTTAGAGGTTCTGAAGAGCTATGTAACTGTGTGACCAAAAAGGCCTGATTGGTAGCTGGGGTGTGGGGGCTGGTTGTGTCACCAAGACAATGCAACTGCTCACACAGCCATTTCAGTGCACCAGATCTCAGTGCACCAGTTTGGGACAAGAAACAGGATGCCTCTCTTGCCCCACGCTCCTTACTCACCTGACCTCGCTCCGTGCAACTTCTTTTTGTTTCCACAAATGAAGAAGGACATGAAAGGACAGAGATTTGCCCGCATCGAAGAGGCGAAGAAAAAAATGAGGGAGGTGCTGTCAGCCATCCTAACAGATGAGTTTGAACAATGTTTCCAAGAATGGAATTGCAGATTTGACAAACATATTAAGTGTAATGGAGAGTACTTTGAAGGTGATATGGTAGTTTTGTAAAAGAATTTTAAATGCAAAAAAAAAAATTTAATGCATAGGTTTGAAAAAATTACTCCATTTTCTTGGGTACCCCTCTTATACTGCTTGATTAACTGAGGCCTGCTGGCTAAGCATTGGACTGCTCACTGCTAGGGTCTGGGGTCTATACCACCCAGCTGCTCTGTGGGAGAAAGATGAGGTGTCAGCTCCCATAAAGATTTACTGTCTAGGGCCACTGTCAGCCCAAATTGACATGATAGCAGTAGGTGAGTTTGGATTAAAATCAGTGAGATTAAAGTCAGTAGGATAATAATCCCAAAGTTGAGCAAAAGCAAACTTCTGCGACAGCCGTAGTTTGCAGCCTCAGTGATGAGGCAGCCAGGTAGCTCCTGATAAGGAGCATGCTCTCAGAGTCAAGGGAGGCAGACTCGGAAGGAACATTTTACTACAAACTTTTCTGTATTCAGGAGAGCTCATTTACCTTTTAAAATAGATAGAAACTTAATATATAGGAGTAATATAGATTTAACACCAAGCTTTGATAACTGATTGGTAAAATGTGCTAAACTTTATTAGTGAGATAAAGATTAAAAAGCAGCTCCATGTATTGCTTCCTCAAGTCACTTGTGTTAAACACTTTTTTTCTTTTTGAATTCAGACTTTCTCATGAATTGCTTGAAACACATAGTCTTTGCTTTTTAACTGTGCTCAATCATGGCTACGTGAGTGTTTGGATCAGCTAAAAATGCCCATTTCTTTCTCTGTTTTTCCTTTAGTTGGGACGAGACTCACTTTGGAAAAATGGGCAGTTACTACATCAACCGCACCTTTTTCTTTGATGTGCACCCCCCTCTGGGAAAGGTGAGCAGTGAGTGTGTGGTAACAGCAGCTCGGCGCCCAGACCCGGGCCTGTGCGTTGGGAACACGCCTTGGCTTTGAATGGAATCCTCAAGCTTGTAGAACCATTTCTCTAGGTGTAGTCCAAACCAACTACTTTTATGGGAAATCGTTGGTGTTTTTAGGGACCCTCTGGATTCAGAACTGGAGAGAGGATAAGCAAAATGTGATTTATTTTGTCCAGAACCTCAAAACCTACCGCCGTCAAGTCAGTTCTCACCCATAGTGGTCCCGGAGGAACGGAACAGACTGCCACTTGGTTTGGTCGGCCGCTGAGTGTTCTGCCCACTGCCCCCCCCCCCCCCCCCCCCCCCCCCCCCCCCCGCCCCCACCCCAGGGCTTCTTGGTGTATCTGTACAATGGAATGTTACTTGACCATAAAACATAACGAAGGCCTGATACATTCTACAGCATGGATGAACTTTGAAAAACGAAGTGGAAGAAACCAAACATAAGGACCATGCATGGCTAATTCTCAGCACTGTACAGAAAGGAGAAAGTCACCGAGTGGTTGCCAGGGCCTGGAGGATGGCAGACGGCAGAATGGCTGCTCATGGACAGGGAGGGGGGTTTGCAGTTGGAAAGACCACCAGCCAGAATTCCTTTCACTCTTTTCTTTTAGAGACACACCTCTGAGAAGTCTAATGGATCAGTTCTGCTTCCTCTGGTCCTTTTTCCCCAGCAGGAGTCTGGGACCTTGAGCAAAAAGGGGTCAGGAGTTTTCCTGGGGTGGAGTGGGACATGATTTTAGAGCACGGAGTACTTGGGGATGAAGGTGGTGAGCGGTAGGGGAGCAGGGATGGGTGACCTGTGACAGATGGGTTTAGGGACGTCTGAGAACATGGGGTGAGGACTAGGAAGGCCCCAGCCCATGGAGGAGAAAAGGCAGAAGCAGGGGAAGGAGGGTGGGGGTGGGGGTGGGGGGAGAGGTAGGGATAAATGAGCTCTGAGCCAAGGAAAGCGTAAACACATTATACTCCATCTCCTTTACAACAGGTGGATAGGAGCAATGGAATAGGCCGTCTCTTCTAGTCACCTCAGTCAGTCATCTCATTTAATCCTCAGTACAGCCCTGCAGAGTAGTCACCGCCGCTGTGTAGCTCACAGGGCACAGGCAGGATGGGTAGCTTGCTGAAGGGTGTGGAGCTAGTAAATGCCAAGGTTCCAGCTGGCTTAGAGCCTGTTCTCTTAAGCAGTGCACCACTCTGCCTCATGGACTTGCCTGCTTCCAGAAGTCCCACACGATCTCTCTGCAGGGTAGAAATAAGCAGCAGTGTGTTCAATGAACTGTTTTAGGCATACCTGGGAATCAGGCTACTTCTGGCAGAAGAGATGTTTTATAGGAAATGCTGTCCTCTTTGGGGACTCCCCTCTTGCTCAGCACAGGAGCCCTGGCGTCATGGTAGTTCCATGTTGCTGCTAACCGCAAGGTCAGCCGCTCCACGGGAGAAAGACTGGGCTTTCTCCTCCCATAAAGAGTTACAGTCTTGGAAACTCACAGGGGCAATTCTACCCTGTCCTTTAAGGTCACTCTGAGTTAGAATTCCCTCAATAGCTGGCCTCGGGGGTGGCTTCTTTCTACGGCTCCTCCCAGGGAGTCTGGTCCCCCTGCCCTCCAGTTCATCTCCTGACGATTCTGTGCTCTCCCTGGGGGACACAGTGTGAGGGAGACCTGTCAGAGAGCAAGGTGCTTCATAGGCCAGGCCACCCCAGAATTGTAAAACCCCGCTAGGGGGCAAGTAGGCAGTCTTCTCCCACCAACTGGTTCCCAACACTCTGTGCCAAGGGACTCCAGGAAAGTAGGTACTTTTTAAAAAAAATTAAAATTCCTGCACACAGTCAAATAAAGTGGATCCATTTTAAAGGCTATAAAAGGACAAAAGGCTCCTCGCTCCACATTTCTGTTCCCCAAAGGTAGCCATGATCAGTTTCTTATCTGAGCATGCCCTCTCAGGAATTCTTATGTGTGGGCACATGGAGAAGGCATTATGTATATTCACATATATGTGTATTTATGCGCACATACCAAAGTCAAACTCACTGCATTGAGTCCATTTTGACTCATAGCAACCAACAGAGCAGAGTGAAATGGTGAGTTTTCAAGACTATAAATCATTACAGGAGTAGAAAGTGTCATCTCTCTCCCTCAGAGCAGCTGGTGGTTTTGAACTGCTGACCTTGTGGTTAGCAGCCCAACACGACTGTGTGTGTGTGTGTGTGTGTGTGTGTGTGTGTGTACACATGCATGTGTACATCATAATCTTTTTAAAACAAATGGAATCAGGCTACAATCGTTCAGCAACTTATATTTTAAACAAGACATATCTTCATACTTTCCCACATTGACATATAAAGATAAATTCCATTCTATGTTCCTGGGTAGCACAGATGACTAAGTGCTCAGCTTCAAACAAAAGGTTAGTTTGTGGGGTGGGGGGGGCAGTAGGGGATTGATAGCATTGATGATTGTATATCCCTACCCCATGGGATTGAACAATAGAACTGTATGGGAAAGGAAAGGATTTATCGGAATGAGTAAGATAAGGAAATAAAAATATTATTAAAAGAATAAAGTAGTGCTTGCTTCGGCAGCACATATACTAAAAGAATAAAGTAAATTCCAATAAAGGAGATGCAATAAAATTAAAAAATTTCTGCAGCCATCCACTGATGGTTGCAGAGACATGTTTTTTTTAAAAACAACAGGTTTTTTTTTCAAATGTTGGACTTGGCTACTTCTGAAAAAAAAAAAACCCAAATACACCAGCCATTGAAAACCTCATGGAAAACCCACACTTCTACTCTGATCATGGGTCACCAGGAGTCAGATCCCGATGGACATTGGTGTAGTCCATTATTGGTAGCCCCTGATTTATGATGGGGTTCCTTTCTGATGATGCGATTATAAGTAATCGAACACCACATTTTGTTTTTGTTTTTCAGTTTTCATTATTAATGCCTTTTGTTATCAATATTTTTGTAAATCTGAGCCTCATTCATCTTTGGAGGTTGGAAACATTACATGTAAGCTTAAAAGATATATATATATATATATATATGTATGTATGTATATATATGAATACATAAAAGTTATGAAACAAAATAATAAAACCTAAAGATGGCTACAAGTGCAGTTTGTTATAACACAAAGACATCCTAAGTTGGGGATTACCCATGCTCAAATGTACCCTAATGTATCTTATTTGTCTTCATTTGGTGGGCATACATGATTTCCAGTTTTCACCAATATCCAAATCATTGCTGCAAAACATGCATGAGTATGTACCTGTGCATAGTTATGCACACTTAAGCTGAAAGATCCCAAGCAGCTGCACTGAAGAGTCCAACAGTGTAGACATTGACAACTGTCAGATATTGCCAAGATCGTGCAAAAAATGCTTGTAGCAATTTAAGCTCTGCGACCATTCCCTCCTTCAGATTTGGACTTTATAATTTACAATCCTTGTATCACACAGGCTGGTGTGCCTCTTCCATGTGGACTTGGTTGTTGCCTCACTGAGATGGCTGCTTGTTTTAAGACAAGCCGTTGAAGACCTCAGATGCTATTCTTCTGATAGCCAGACAAACAGTGGAAGCCCCAAATCTATTTGAAGGGTTCCCGCATGAATTAAACCTCCGACGGACCCCTGTGACTGTAGTCCAGGGGTGTGAATAGCCGTGCTTTCAGACAGCACTGTGAAGATGGTTGTGGCCGATGTGTCTAGGTTAAAATATAATGCCTTACCATTTGATCTCCCTTTTGGCCCATTTGAAAATTGTTTCAGCTTTTAATATTTTCTGCTTTTCGGTTGAGGTTTTTCTACATGTTGTCTAGTCATTGTAGTGTTTTCTGCCTGTATTTTGAATGACTTTTCTGTATATGGAATCCAGGCTTGGTTAATCTATAGAGACAGTGACTAGATTAATAACTGCCTAGGAACATGGCAGGGGAGGATGGGGAAATGAGCTAACGAGAAGAAATGTTCTGAAATTGACTGTTGTGACGATTACACAGCTCAATAAGATTGAACGATTCAGTTTAACAATATTTGAAATATGTGCCAACAAAACTATGGAAAGCAAACAAACAAACTTGTACAAAGCTCGCCGCCTCCCTGCCCCGGTGTCTGAGGGCACTCATTTCCTAACCATCGCCACCTCCGACCTGCTCATCCTGGAAAAGTGTCCACTTGAGAGTGAAAACTGGTGTCCTCCTGGTCTCATTTGCATGTCTTCAGAAGTTATGGTCAGCTTCCCCCTCTGTGCTTAGAAACCATTTGTTTTTTCTTAATTTGCCCATTTTTCTAATCAGCTGTTCATGTTGCTCGTATTGATTGGATGAGTTGTTTAATTGGGAAAGTAGCTCAGGGTTACTTTTAACATGAAGTGAACCGAGAGGGCCTGGTGTGGGAGCGCCCACTAAATGGCTGGTGCAGTGCTGGGCATTTCACCTAGTGCACTAGCTCCTGCAGGGAAGCTTTCCTCACCTCTAGCCGGGAGATCTGGGGTATAGCTGTTAGGTGGGCCGCCAGGCGCAGCCCCTTGTGCTTCCCTTCCTTCCACTAGACCAGCCTCAGCAGGCTTGCCCTGCAAGGGGCTGTGGGTGGTTTGTTTCACAGCAAATTCAAGAAGGCTGAGGGGGAGCCCCTCACTGACAACCTTCACAGTGTTTTTTTCTCCCCTAAAGTGTTGACCGTGCGCTGTTCCCAGGGAGTTCGCCCTGATACAGAGAGGATCTGTTTCCAGCAGTGAGCTCTGTAGACAGAAGAGTCTTTGCTCTGCCCCAGCTGCGGGGGAAATGTCCCATTGGTGACGCCTTCCGAGGCCAGCTGTGGAGGGAAACCAGTGTCTGTGGGCGGCCCTGGGGGAAGGTTAAGGGCAGAGGCACGTCCTCCCGAGGTCCTGATCTGTCTGTGTGTTCTCTCCTCAGATGCTGATAGGGCTGGCGGGCTACCTGAGTGGATATGACGGTACCTTTTTGTTCCAGAAGCCAGGGGACAAGTATGAGCATCACAGCTACATGGGCATGAGAGGAGTAAGGCTTCCTGACTTGATCTAGACCGGGCCCTCCCTCAGTCAGCAATGGCACAGGTGGAAGCAAGCCCAGGCATGGTGGCAGCTGTAGAGAGGGGCTTTGAGGTTGGATGGGGGAAGGGGTGGTGATTGGACTGATACCCTGTGGTGTGGCGACTCAGAGCTGGGGTGGGGAAGAGAGAAAGAGGAAGCCACAGAAGAGTCAGATATGTCTAGGCAGGAGTAAACACCTGCTGGCTGTCACCTGTTACCTTGCAGACCTCAGGTTGGCAAGCAGCTGGACCCAGGCAGCCAGATGTCTCCCGTCACCTTGACATTGGCCTCACCCTGCTGGCAAATGAGGTGTTCCTCCCTCCCCTGTGATTCCCAGCTGCTGCAGTATTTACTGCCCATCTACCAGGACCCCCCCACCCCACCCGTGAGGGTCCTGCTGCGTTCCCCATTGAGCTTCAGATACACTCAGAGGTGTTCTAGCTGACAAGGGAGGCTGGGTATCTCCTGCTCTCTGCACTCTGGCCCCCAGCACAAGCCTTGATGGAGCGGAGCACGGCAGGGCACGAACATCCTGCTTTCTGGGAGCCCATACCTATAGCTCATGAAGCCTGCAGAAATGCACCTCGTACCCCGACTCATAGCACTTCGCATTCACGAAGCCCCTGCCCTCAAGGACCTTGTGGCCCTTAAATAAATGGCTATGTGTTTGTTGGAGCGAATTACTGGATGACGTACATGGTCACAGCATGCCATATTTAATCAGTATCCCTGCCTTCAAGTTCTCAGTGTTAAGTGAGTCTCTGTCCTCCTAATGACTGTCCAGGGCCACATGGTCTATAATTGGATATAGACCAGACTCACTGTGGACTCGCTATGGAAATTGAGACGGTCACATAAAACAACCTCAGTCCCTTTCCCACGCGCAACCCGAAGGGGAGAATTACCCATGCCCCCTTGCTTCTCGGCTTACTTTTTTGGCCTGTCTGCCTTTGATGGGCAGCATGGGGAAGGGAGAGTTGTGGTTAGTTGCCAGTGAGTGGATTCTGACTCAGGCAGCCCGTGGCGCAGAGTAGAACTGCCCCTAGGGGTTGGCAAGGCTGTGCCCGCAGGAGCAGATTGCCAGCCTGCACGTCTGCTGCGAACCAGCACCTGCCAGAGGGAGAGGGCTGGTGAGGGAAACCAGCACCACCCAGCAAACAACCTTCGAAGTCTTTTCACTCAAATAAACAGACTCCCTGTGCCTAAAGCTTGGCTTTGCGGTGCCATCGAAGAAAGGAGCCTGGAAGGAAATGGCAAGAATGACATTGGGATTCTCCAAAGTCCTGAGACCCTTTCCGAGAGGGCTTTCTCCACTTGCTGCCCCCACAACTTCACACAGACGCTGATTTACCAGTCCTCTCGTGTTTCACGAGTCCATGCTGTGGTCAGAACGCTTGTTTTTCACACTATCCAGTGGAGAGGCTGAGATAAAGATGTGTCTTTCCTCAAAGTCCTAGCTGGCAGGGAGAGGGCAGGCCAGCACTGGAGTCCCTTCCTGGCATCTTCCATGTGGACAGTGCACACGAGCTGTGCTGACTTCATGTGAGTGCACAGGGTGGTGCTCAGCAGCAGAAGGCTGCTCAGTTTGTCCCTCCCTCCTCTGGTAGCCACCTCTTTCTTACGCGACGAGGTTTCAGATCATTGTGGGTAGTCCAGCTTGTTGAGCTCTTTTACCTTAAAGCCACACAGAGACCCAGGCATCAGTACAGCTGCTCTCTGACTGCTTCTCTTCCTCCTCCAGTTCTGTGCATTCCTGGGTTCCTGGCTGGTGCCCTTTGCCTACCTCACGGTGCTGGAGCTGTCCAAGTCTCTCCCGGCAGCTCTGCTCACCGCGGCCCTCCTCACCTTTGGTAAGTTGTCGGATGCCAGGTTTCTTGGGGAACTGCCACCTTTACTTAACATCGCTGGAGAGCATCGTGTTCCTTAACTTTAGCATTGTGTGAAATGTATACAGATCTAATACTATTCACTGCTAATACCTAATCCTTAAAATGCTTGTATGCAGCGAGCCTTTAGAGTGTTGGAGTTGGCATGGATAATCCCAAGAAAAAGACCATCTCTAAGTTATCCACATTTAAACTTAGAATGTGTAGTAAGATCTGTGTGTGTGTGTGTGAGAGAGAGAGAGAAGGCCTTTTAGAATTCTATTTCTGTCATTCTTAGGTGAATATCAAGTTTAGGTTTCATTTCCTAATTTCATTTAAATCGAATGCCAAAGTAGGTGCCCTCAGAGATACTGGATACCAGGAGAAAGCATTTGACAGCATAACTATTTGCTGTGGATAACCCTCCTGAATGAATAAGAGTTGACTATGGAAGTTGGTCCTTCTGGTAGCCTTAATCTTAGGAGAGTGAATTCATGCCCTCATGGAACGTGCCATGGTAACCTCCAGTGAGGGGTTGGCAGGCCTTGTTCTCATAAATGCTCCATTGAACCCCGGGCCTCTGTGCAGGACTGGTGGCTTCCTCTACGGGTCTTCAATTTTCCTCTTCAGTTAGTCATTCATTTAGTCATTTTTGTAATCCAGCTATTTGTCTACTACCTATTCTGTGCCAAGCTACTCTCCTGAGGTCACCATAACGGCGGAGAGAGTCTGCCATCATTGGCGCTTCCCGTGGAGGAGACCATGAATAAGAAGATGAGTATATCTGGAGTGTAACAGCTCAGGCAATGATCAGAGCAGAGTAGAAGATGAAGCAGGCTAAGCGCTAAGAGTCAAGAGACGCCACATTCTCCCTGGGAAGGTGGTCAGGGAAGACCTCCCTGCAGAGCTGCTTTGGTCAGCGATCTGCATGGAGGATCAGCACATGTGGAGAGCTGTGGGGCCAGTGCCCTGACAGAGGGAACAGCAGGCCAGCAGGTGCCCTGGCCTGATTCTAGGCAGCACTCTTAGACTCGAGGCACAGCAAGAAGGTCATTGTGGCTAGAGAGGACAGTGGGAGAGGAGGCTGTGTGACGGGCAGAGAGCAGACCATGCAGGCCTTGGTACCCTCCACAAGGAGTTTGCCATACTATGTGAGGTGGGGTTTTAGCTGAGACAACATGAGGTTGAAATTTAAAACACGAGCAAACAAAAACAAACCACTGCCACCCAGGCAGCTGTATGGCGAATCAACCATCACAAGAGGTGGTGTGTTAATGGTAGGACTCTGTCACCATCGCTTGTTTATAGCTGCCTTGGCAGGGCGGCAGAGCTCCCCTCTGGATCAGGAAAGGGGTGAGGAAGAGCTGTGGTCTCAGACCTGCTCTTGCCCTGGTCGCCACTTGGTCCTTTGGTGGGCCATGGCTAGAGCTGGATGGGACACTGTTTCTCATCACTGAGCTGCAACCTTCTTCCCTGCTGATGACGCCGTGATGGCACGTGGCCCCACCAGCCTGATCTGTCCAAACGTTTATGTGCAAAAGGGATCGTTTTCTCTGCTGTTGGGGGATTTGCTTCTCTGTGGGCCCCACCCTGACTTTGTTTTGACCAGTGAGCTGATGTTTTGCAGACACGGGATGCCTCACTCTGTCTCAGTACATCCTCCTTGACCCCATCCTGTTGTTCTTTATCATGGCTGCCGTGCTGAGCATGGTCAAGTACCACTCCTGCGCAGACAGGTCAGAGCCACCGTCTTTGGGAGGGGAGGGCCAGAGGCTGGGGCAGCTCCAGAATTTGTGGGAGGACCGGGAGTGGGGGTCGGGGTGGGTGCTGGATGTCAAGGGGACTTGTCTTGAAGTTTAGGAAAACATACAATTACCTTTTTTTTAATTAATTAAATTCACATTAGATATTTTAGATAATAGAAATCGGAATGCTTTTGCTTTGCATGAGACCGAGAAAGTGTCAGTTGTTCTTTTCCCCCAAGATGACTTTGACTACATAGCAAATGAACGGCTAGTCATTTGAGTAGCCATTACATAGTGGTCCCCTTTGGTACTTTGGATTAGGGTTGCATGGATAATGCCCTCACCCTCACCCAGGCACCCCTGTGTCCCCGAACAGCTTTATCCCTCACAGTCTTCACCCTAGAGGAGAAGGCACCAAGACAGAAGCTGCCTGGGGACAGAGTGTCTCCCTGGCCTCAATGGACGCACTCAACCCCCAGCTAATGGTGGAAGTAATGCTTATGGAGGTGGGCTTGAATGGTCTACACCAGTCCCGAGGCTCCCTCCAGGTCCTGAGCACTTCTAGTGCAGATCTGGATGGAGCGTCTTCTTTGAGATTAGTCTTTCCATATCCTTCTTCCACCTTAGAGAGTAGAAAAAGAACAGCTGTCTCCTGGGCTTTTCTGGAAGGCAGTTTGATCTCATTCTGGCCACACTCATGGAGTGACATGCTTCTCAACCTGATGCGTGGTCCCGCCCATGCTGACTCGACCATCTTCTGTATCTCCCATGTTCACCACTCCCTGCCCTTTCTTGATTGTGTACCATGTGCCAGGCACTGCGCCGGGACCTGGAGACGCACAAGTCCATAGGTTTTGGGTGTTAGTTAAGAAACATTCCTAGAAGAAGAGGCAGCCAGTGCTCAGAAACCTGCCATGCAGGGTGCTAGCTATCACCCACTCCGCCTCACAGAGTCTCCGTAGGACACAGTAGAAACTGCCCTGTGGGCTGTAACTCTAGAAGCAGACTGCTGTACTGCTCTCCTGTAGAGTGGCTGGTAGGTTTGAACTGCCAACCATTTGATTAGCAGGGCAGTGCTTAACCACTGTGCTACCAGGGCTCCTTGTGCTGGGTTCTACTAGGATAGAAAAAGAGGAGCCCTGGTGGCGTAGTGATCACACAGGGGGCTGGTAACCAAAAGGCCAGCAGTTTGACCACCAGCCGTTCCGAAGGAGAAAGACAGGGCTTTCTACTCCAATAAAGAGCTCAGAGTCTCTGCAGTTCTACCCTGTCCTATAGGGTCACTGTGAGTGTCCTATAGGGTCGCTGTGATTCAGAAGCAACCTGATGGCAGTGAGTTTTTTGAGTATAGAAAGATGGTGAGGAGCACTAACCTGGGATCAGATGGCCAGGCTTAAACCGTGCTCCCCCGAACCCCTTTGCCCCTCGCCTTTCCCACACAAGAGGACTGGCCCCGTGAGGCTGTAGGGAAGATACAAGGGCAAAGCTGTGTAGAGTACTCAGATGCCATCTGGCACGTAGTCAGCACCTGTCACTGTTGGCTTTTCCAAGCTCTGCACCCAGGAGAGGGCTTCCAGAATGGATTTCCTTCTACCCACGCCTCCTTGGCCGCCACTACTTAGAGAGGGGACTCTTGCTTACCTTTAATCCGACAGGCGGCCAGGAGAGCTGGTGGAGCTTCTCCCCAGGAAAAAATGCCCTCCTCCCCCTCACACAAAGGTTTGGGGGCTTTCCAGACGTGGTCTCCTTGCCACATCCCCAAGGTTAGGGACCTCTGCTGTGGAGGACCCAGTGTGGCGTCTCTGAGCCAAAGATCCTCTGCCCTGCTCCAGGCTGCTCTTGCCTTCCGGGTCCGGCTGCCTAATTGAACCGCGTCTTGTTGGTTTGCAGGCCCTTCTCTGCCCGCTGGTGGTGCTGGCTCACCCTGACTGGCATTAGTCTCGCTGGGGCTCTGGGAGTCAAGTTTGTTGGCCTCTTTGTCATCCTGCAAGTGGGATTGAATACCATTTCAGACCTTTGGCGCCTGTTCGGAGACCTCAGTCTTTCACTGGTGAGAACCCGGGTGTTTTGAGGAGAGTCCCTGCCCCCCAAACTGCTCAGCTGGGGCAGTGGCCTCTCTTAGTCTCTGCTACAGGAGGCCCGGGGCCAGATCCAGCTGCCCCCATTGGCCTCAGGACAGCAGGAAGTGGCGTTAAAGGAGAGAGGATGGGATAACATCTTTGGAATTTGGCATTTGTTTCTGAGATGTTTTAAAAGATTCTACAAACCACCCAGTCAGGGGATTTTGTTCAACTGAACCCAGGTCAGGCATGTGGCAGACACGAACCAATCCACGGAACTCCAGGTGAAATGGCCAAAGTGACTTTCTGGACTCACCTTTGCCTTCTCCCTATCAGGAGGCCAGGAAGGGCCACTAGGGTTGAGTCCGCAGGGGCTGGTGCTCTGCTCGGACCGTGCAAAATGCTGCCCCTGCATCCTGTCATTTCTTCCTGGCAATCCTGGGGGAATAGGTCGGTAGGACCACTGTTTACAACGAGGAAGCAGACCGCAGGAGACACTGCACAGGTGGTAAGAGGCAGAGCTAGGGTGCAAACCTAGGTTAGGCTAGACCCTGTCTCAGCATTCAACTCCCATCAAGTTTCCCTCTTCATTCAGAAAACAGAGAGACCACCCCCTAAGTGTGAGGTGCCTGAACAGGGCATGGTTCCTGACCCCTAGAGGCCACAGGGAGAGACACCAGTAAATAGGACTTTGCTGCCCAGCTGGTGAGGCTGGTTGAGAATCCAAGACAGGCACCAGCCCCATCCTGCACAACCCAGAAAGGCTTCTGGGAGGAAGCTGAGGCCTGGGGTGAAAATCTGGAGCAGTTAGCCATGTGATGGGTGGGGCTGGGCCTGAGCAGGAGGCATCCGGGAAGGTAGACCGTGGAGACGACTGGTGAGTGCAGATGTGGACACACAGCGGGTCTCTCTGCGTCACAGTGGCAGGTCGGGGCCCTGGGCGAGGGCTGGGAAGTCAGCAGAGGGCTAGCCTCTGTTTAACCCTCTGCAAGGCTTTCCGGGGGGGAGGGCATGTCCTCTTCCCTGTGGGCCATTCTTTGTTCAGTTTTTATCATTCAGATGTTTCCTTAAAAGCTTACTGCTGCGCAGCTAAGGGCCGAGGACTAGTGAAGCCCCATCTGGCCACCACTCATGCCAGCCTCTGTTGGCAGGTGACTCTGGCAAAACACCTGATGGCTCGCATCGTGTGCCTCATCGCGCTGCCCCTGGCTCTCTACACGGCCACCTTTGCTGTCCACTTCATGGTGCTGACTCAGAGGTAAAGCTGGAGCCTCACTGGCCCTTCCCTGGGTGCTAAGCCTGTGCGTGGGTGACTGCGATTCCCTGGATCTCTGGTTGGGGTGGTGGGAGAGTGTTCCCAGGGGTTTGTTCTGCTTCTTGCTTCCTGCTTTCTGTCCTCTGAACACCCCAGACTCAGACAGGGCAGCATCCCCACCTGGCTGCCCTATGCCCCTGACCAGAATGCCTTGTTAGCAGGATGGCACCACAAGGGTGCTGGTCCCACTGAGAGCAACAGGATCAGCTCCCATGCAGGGGGTGTCTGCTTGGCGTGGGGAACCACGGTCAGCATGCTAGGTCCCTTCGCGCAGCCAATCAGAATCACCGAGAGTGCTTTCGAGTTTCTTTTCTTCCCGATGCATGAGCCACAGAGACTACAAAGAATGTGAGCTGTCTTGCTTGGGGTCATATAGCTAGTGAGTTGTTGGGGTGCGGTCTGGGTCACCTGTCACTCGTGTCTGTCCCTCTGTGCCACACCAGCACCTTCCCCAGAACTGAGCAGAGCTGCTCTCGCAGCCCCAGGCGAGCTGCCCTCTCTGCCCCAGTAACGTGGCTCTCTTCTGCTGCTGCTTTCTCCCCAGTGGGCCCGGCGATGGCTTCTTCAGCTCTGCCTTCCAGGCCCGGCTCTCAGGGAACAACCTCCACAATGCCTCCGTCCCTGAGCGTGAGTCTCCCTGGGCCTCCGGGAAGGTGGTAGAGCACAGAACAGTTTCCGGGAGTTGAAATGGAAGAGCTGCGTGTGCTGGTGTGAGCGACTGCAGGCTGTAGATGACAGTGTGAGAGAGACCAGCTAGGTCTGGTAAGGGTCCTCGGAAAGAGGCAATCCAGACAGAGGAACACGTCTGACCTCTGCAGCAAGCTCCGTGTGCTTAAAGAATGACATCAGTGTGTCCCTGGAAGCCTGGAAGCCAGCCCTGTGGGGAGACCAACCAGAGAGAAGTGGGGCCAGCAAAGATGCTCGTGGGACGGGTGGAGCCGCCAGGCAAGCTGTGACTTGTGTCTCAGACAGTAACCGAGGAAGCACTAGCCACTTGGGAGGCTGCAGGACCCGGATGCCCTTCAACATGGAGAGTCCTGGTAGAGATGTACACACACCTCGGTTAGGTGTACAGAGCTGCATGGAGAGGGTGGGGGCACAGTGCTGGGCTGACAGAAGGCTCCAGAGAGTGTGTCCTGCTACGGGGCCAGGGTCAGAGGGCTGTGGAAAGGAGGGAGCTGCGGTAGAGGTGATCCCGGAACATCGCAGAGGTTTCCACAGATGGAGGAGAAAGAAAGACAACCAGTACAGCACCCTCAAAGCCAAGGACGGGGCAAAACTCACATGCTGCATGCAGGAAATTCCCCATTATGTGGGGAGTTAGGTCGAAGAGATAGTTTGTGCTGATAGATGAGGCCTTATCACGTGCAGATGAGGAAGAGTTCCTCACCCAGGAGGGGGAGACCCACTGGCAGGCGGTGAGCAGGCAGGAGGCCGGGAGCGCTGTGCTGTACAGAGACGCCTACAGCGGCTCTGGAGAGGTTGGGACTGGAGGCAGGGCATCCTCTGGGCCACCGCTGCAGGAACCTGAGCTTGATATGGTGGCGGCAGCACCAGGGGTAAGACAAACATCACTTGTGAAGGAAATGACATAGAAAGAAAGATGTCAGTAAGGATTGGAGTCTCGGTGACTGTTCTTTGAGGCAAGGGCTACCTCGCACCCATTTTCTCTCTAGTGCCCTGCACGGATCAGGACATGGTGGACCCCTCAAGACTGGACAGAGCGAGAAAGCTGGAGGGCAGGAGAAAAAGCTGGTTTGGCAGGGCCAATACTGAGAGTCACATCAGAAAGTTTGACTTTGAGGTGCTTGGGTGGAGTCCATGCAAGTTGGAGCCATTGGGCTTGGCGCTGAGGGCCCAAAGAGCATTGGGCCGGGTGAAGGGATGAGACCAGGTAGTGGCTGAGGTCAGCTCATTGGGGAACGCATGGGAACGAGGGAGCTGCTGGGGAGCGAGTGGGGCAGGACCAGACAAGGAGAGAGGGGCTGCTTCCAGCAGTAAAGATGGTCAGCAGTCTTCAGGGTTGCAGAGGTTGGCCTGCATGTGACCTTAGGAAAAATGAACTCTGGGGTTTAGAAAGACCCTCTCAAACCCAAACCAGACTTACTGCCATGGAGTGCATTCTGACGCAGTGACCCTCCAGGACAGGGTGGGACTGTACCTCTGCGGGAGTAGAAAACCCATCCTTCTCCCAAGGAGTGGCTGGGGGTTTTGAACAGCTGACCTTGTGGTTAGCAGCTGAACACATAACCCACCACACCACCAGGCTGCTAGCAGATCCTGGTTACTTAAAGGTCCAGCTCAGCTATGATCTCTCACCAATTTGCCCGCCTCTGCCTCCCTGGGATAGGGCTTGCCCGAGCTTGATCTGTATGGCCACCAGGTCACTCCTTGCTGCCCCTCTGCAGGAATGCTCCCACGTGGCCAGTGTGTGTAGCCTTGAGCCAAAAAGGGCTCCTCCAGGGCGCCCCCTGTGGGGCCCTGCAATCGCTAGATCTGGGCTGGGGTGGGATGAGTGAGCAGGGTGGGCTGTCATGGCAGAGTGGTGGGTGGTGGGGCCACCAGATTTCGGGGGTAGGAGGAGGGGAAGGAGGTGCTCCTCTCTGATCTGTCTGCTCAGTTTAGAGGTGGGGAAATTACTTCCCTGTTGAATAAATAGCTTGAAGGGCAGAAACGTTTATCTGAAAGTCTGTCATAACGCTGGATCCTCAGAGTGTTCCAGAGGAGACACAGAGCGATGCTGCTTCTTAATCCACTGCCTGGATCTACAGACCTTCTCCGGAGGACAGACTGCTCCTGTCTTATGAGCACTCCTAATTCCCAGTGTCTCTTGCTGCCCTGGGGAGAGAGGGGCGGGCAAGGAGCTCCCTCCTGAGCGGACTTTCCCTGAGTCTAGTCTGCAGGCAGCTTGGCATCAGAGGCTTTAGGCAGTCCTGGGACGGGTGACGAGCCTGCCAAAGGGGTAGCTCATCTGGATACTTCCTAGAACCCCACAGTCACTGTATCAGCTCATCTTCCACTGCCTGTCTCCCCTCAGACCTGGCCTACGGCTCCGTGATCACGGTGAAGAACCTCCGGATGGCCAGCGGCTATCTCCACTCCCACAGGCACCTCTACCCCGAGGGCATTGGTGCCCACCAGCAGCAGGTTAGTGAGCCCTTTGGGCACTGTGTTCCAGCCACGCTTGCCTCTGTGTCCAGACTGGCCGGGCCATTCTCTTCCTTGTCTGGAACTCCTCTCTCCCCGGCTCCCCTCCCCTCCTCCCTCTGGCCGACTCCGGCTTCTCCAGGCTGCAGCTCATCCACCATCACCCCACCGCACCCTTGCGGGCCCGAGGCCGCTCTGATGAGAGGCTCTATCAGCACCCTCTCCCACTCCTGGTCACATGCCTCTTGTCTCAGTCACTTGACTGCCAGCTCCCACTGGCACGCACTAATAACGCCCCGACATGATCAGGAGCACACACCCTGGAACCAGACAAGCGTGTCTCAAATCTTGGTTCTACGACAGGCTGACTTTGGGCTAGTCGCTCAGCCTTTCTGTGCTTCTGGTCCCGAATCTTTAAATGGGAGAAAGCCATCCGTCCCTTCACAGTGGACTGTCATGAGGGCTGGCTGAGATGCAGGAAGTGCACGTGTGAGGGCCAGCTGCACGTGCTGTTGGAAGGAAGGAGAGACACTTGCGGCGTGTTCCTGCGTGTTAGGTGTGGCTGTGGTGGGAGGGGCCTGAGAGGGGGAGACAGGATGACAGAGAGTTGGTAGGCCAGACTGGCAGGACCTTAAGGTTATTGTAAACTTGACAATTCCATAGACATTGGGGCGACCATGCAAGTTATTAAGTGATGACAAGATGTGATTATAGGAAGATCACTCCAGCCAGAGCCTGGGGCACATTGAAAGGAGGGGCCAACTGGAGGCAAGGGGCCACTGGAGAGACTGATGCAGCAATTAGGTGAAAGATGGTTTGACCAACTAACCGAGGCCAGCCCAGCCACTGGAGGTCACTGTGTGCTCATGCTGCCCTGCCATTGTCAGCATGAGAGGTGGAGAGGAGAGGGAAGGGTTTTCCCTGTGTGCCTTAGGTCTGGCGCTTATCTGAGCAGTGAGATTGGAGCGTGTGGCCCATGGGGGTTAATGACGCACTGGGTTGGGTGTCCTCTCCCAGAAAGAGTGCTGAGTGGAGCCGGTGGAAGGGGGCTGGGCAGGAAGAGGTCAGAGGATGGAGAGGAGATGGCCGGCAGTGACAAACAGGCACAGGAGGCCGGGATTGAAAATGAGGTCTTTGCCTGGCACAATAGGAGGCTCTCTCTGGCCCCTGACAAGGAGTGTCGGGCAGTGGGCTGGGCAGAAGTCTCAGGTGCAGTGACTCAGAGTGGAGGCAGCCCTGGGGAAGCTGGGACTCTGAGGAGCTTAGAAGTGAAGTAACTCCTCCTGCAAAATGATGAGTTTCTAAAACAGTTTGCCTCTTAAGATGACTTCTTTTTCTTTATTTACTTTTTTAATTACTAGAGAGTCTAATCTAGACAGTGTAAGGTGGAAGGGTATAGGAACACTGTACTTTCTGCCTAGGTTTTCTGTAAACCTTAAACTGTTGTAAGAAATACAGTCTATTTTATAAAGAAAGCCCCCAAGACAGTGGGTTTGAGTATCAGTGTCTCACCCTTGGTTTTCTATTCATCTCTTCCGACTATGGGTTCACAGCCAGGGCTGAACTTTTGAATCTGCTACAGAGCTTTTGTGATTCTAATGCCTGAACTTCACCACAGTGATCCTGACTCAATCTCTGCCATGGGGCCCATGCAGTGTTGAGTTTTGTCTTGGTCGTAAGCTCTCTGGGGGGTGGGGGGCTCTAATCAGCAGCCCAGAGGGAAAACCACTGCCTGCATGGTGGTAATGTTTTGCTGCAGCCGCCTTGTGGGAGACTGTAAGACACAGATGTGGTCATCAGGAGCCTCTCAGCTGTGCAAAGGGAGAGGCTCTATTCTGAAAGACCCTCATAAGGGAGTCTTTGTTTCACACTCAGTGTTGCTCAATTCACTAGCGATGGGTTGACACATGACTGACTGCGACACCAGGCTCAGACCTAGTACTGGTGGGGAGGCAGTGTTTCACTGTGTTGTGCCTGGTGTCCTTGTGAGTTAGGACGGACTTGACAGCACCGCATAGGTTTTTTTAAGAGGGCCAGATGCCTATTTCAGCTCATATGTGAAGACTTGAAGCCATGATTGTAGGACAGGGAGAGCACTTAAGTGTCTGGTTTTCTCATGGACTGAATCACTTAGCCCATCTCAGCTTGTTTCCTCCTCTGTGAGGTTGGGGTATTTGACTAATGCCTCTCATGGCCTCCCACAGCCTGCAGTTGACTGTCAGGTTTGGAACCATTCTTACAGCAGAACTCTGATTCGTTGCCACCCATTTGATCCCAACCCGTGGACTAGAACTGACAGCTCATGGGGTTTCCGGGGATAATCCTCACAGAAGCAGGCTGGTCGGGTCCAACGGCCGACTCTGTGGTTGGGAGCCAAGCCCTCAGCCCCCGCAACATGGGGGGTGGGGGTGGGGGCTCCCTCTCTGAAAGCATGACACATGCACAGTAAGTGTAGAAAGATAAACGAGTATGAAAAAGCGAAGAGAGACTGATGCCAGCAGGTAATGCTCCCCCCGTGTGCCATAACAGGAGGAAGTGGCACGCTGAAACGTCCGTGCACGCTATTGCAGAAACCGTGTCAATGCGAGGGAGGGGGTGTAGGTTAGACCCACAATAAAAAATGTTTTAAATATGTTTTTTGGGGGGTAGGTGTGTTAGGCCAGGTTGACTAGAGAAACACATCCAGTGCCACTTGTATATGTGTAAGAGAGAGCTTTAGATCAAGAAGTAGTTGAAGCCCACCCTGTGGTCCCGTGGACATGTGTGTTGCTTCCACGTGTTTGAACGGCATAGATGCGGGGATTCCCTTCCACCAGCCTTCCACCACTCTCCAGTTTCCTTTCCGGACTTCACATTCGGGACCATCTTCCTGGCCCGCCCCTCTTCCTGGGACCACTGCCACTTTCATTTAGTGTGTGGCGACCTCCAGACCGACCCTTCATGAGCTCTCAGGTCCGTCAGAATGATTCCGCCAACGCTGAGGCCAGCGCCCACCGTCTGGTCAACCTGCACCTGCTGGCCTCTGACACCTACCTCTCTCTGGGCTTCTTTGTGCCACCACAGTGTGGCCTTGGAAGGCGGGGGACGCTTCCGCGAGCTGGGAAGGAGAAGCGCGAGGGGGCCGAGCATCTCTGGAAGCTGCAGCACCAGCGCGGCGGCCGCACCCTCCCCCAGGATGTGCAGAAGCCGTCCCAAGATGAGTGGGGCAGAACCCTGGACGCCATGGAGCCTGCCCTGGTCCCGGAGAACACCCTCAACCAGGCTCTTCTGGACCTGCATGCGGGGGGGGCCCCCTCACACTGACCCCATCTCTGTGACTTTCTGGGGAACCACTTCCTGGACGAGGAGGTACAAGTCCTCAAGAAGATGGGCGACCACCTGACCCACCTCCGCAGGCTGGCCAGCCCCAGGCGGGCAGAGCCAGTAACTTCCAGAGGCTCAGCCTCAAATGCCACTAGGAACCTGCCGAGCCACCTGCGAGGGGCCCTCTGCCTCCCCTGCCGGCCTTAGCCCATAGCCCCTCTGCCCGAACCTGCCCCGCCAGCCACAGTGCCACCGCCCTAGAGCCCCTCCCACAAACCGAGGACCAAATGGAAACAATAAAGCTTCCTTTTGCAGCAGAAAAAAAAAGAATAAGAAGTAGTTACATATCAGGAAAACAGCCCAGTCCAGGTAAAGTCCCTGAGTCCTATACTAGTCCATAAATCCCTCTTCAGACTCACACAGCCACGTGCAATGATGCAGAATGCAGGAAGACCACAAGCAGGAGGGTGCAAAGTATTGTGGGTCCAATGTCGGTGGAAGCATCACAGGACTGGCGCAGCTCTGAGTGGCTCATCAGCAGGAGGGTGAAGCAGAGACGGGGAGGGTCCCAGGACCCTCCTTAGGAGCAGGCCATACCCACACGGAGGCACCATCAGGCACCGACAGGCTAAACTCCACCCCACACTTGTATATCTTCAGGTTGACATGAAATTATGTAACTACCACAGTAGGCATTTAAATAATAATGTTTTTGTTTAAAAAAATCCACAAAGAATGTGCATATGAACACTCAAAACCTTAACCTCCACCAGCGCATCCAAGTTAGATGGCGTCTCTCTTGGTTTTACTCTGGAGCGTGGACTTAGGTTCTCTGAGGTCTCCAAGACTTGGTAGCTTCTCACACTACAGGTCGTCCCTGACTGAGGACATGCTCCAGGTACCACGGGTCACACTTAGGACCATCTGCATTGAGTGGTTTCTGTAGAGCTTACTGTTAGTAATATGTGTGTGCAGGTACTAAAATGTATCTGTAAGTTGATCTGCAATGTTTTCAACCCCTGAAGATAAAGATGGGATTTGTAAATTATTATGGCACAACAAGTATAACCCAAAGTGGCCATTTTTGCCATTGTAAGTGCACGTTGAGGGACATGCAACCATCGCCACTATGCATTTCCGAAGGTTTGCCGTCACCCCCAACAGAAACTCAGAAGCCCCTTCAGTCCGAGACCGAAAGGTACCCTGAGAGCCTATCAGGAAGGAAGGCCAGGTATGGAAGGAGGAGAGGCCCTCACACTCAGTACTGCCTCTGAGCCCCTCTGAGAAGGGTGGGCCCCCTCAGGCCGCTTGCTGGGGCTCCTGAAAGAGGATCAGCAGTGTTGGTGCTGAGCAGAGCATCACAGAATTCTCCTCCCCCCACCCCTTCCCCCTAGGTCACCACCTATTTGCACAAGGACTACAACAACCTGTGGATTGTCAAGAAGCACAACACAAACTCAGGTAACGTGGCGGAGCTGCTGCATGGCCTGGCCCCACTCTGAGCCCTCCCTGCCTTTCCTCCTGCCTCCCAGAGGATGGGGCTGTTTCCGAGACGAGCTCTGGCTTTCTCCATGCCTCCGCACTCAGCTGCCCTTCCAGCAGTCATCTGCGAGGCCTGCTCCGAGCCGGCCCTGTTGTAGGCATAGAGGGTAAGCAGTGCGCAGGAGAGACCAGCTCTCATCTCAGTCGCTTTGAAGCCAAGACGGCAGGGCAAGCTCGGCCTTACTCCAGGAAGCGGTTCTGTAGGCGTGCTGCTTGGATCTGTGAGTGGCCCTACCTGGGGAGGACATGGCACCTCTCATTTCTAACGTGCAGATCCCAGCATGCAGTGCAGCTCAAGTTATTTTATTTTTTTATTTTAATTATAAATTAGGTGGGGGTTAAATTTCAGAACATCAACTTTGTACTCCAGTTATCTTGATGACGAAGAGTACCCTTTACTGACTGTTGCTGAATTGGGACAGTTGGTTGGAGATCTGAGGACGTGCCAGTTTCTGGTGCTTGGGACCAGCCTACGGAGCTGCCCCTCCCCAGTCTGGGCAAAGCGGCCCTGAAGCACACCCAGCAGGCTCTGGGGCTTTACAGGAGGGCTGGAAGGCAAGCTGCCTGCCTTTGGTCAGATGGCTGGCCCCCTGCAGGCTGTGCCTCCTGCGGCCGTGGCATTGGGAGACTGCATCTCTTGCTCACTCTCCCAAGCCCCTGCTGCTTGTCCTCTGCCATAGGCACTCTGGGGGCTGCCTCAGGGAACCCACCTGGCTGTGCCTGCCCTGGCTGGCTGACTGCAACTAAATTCAGCTGTTCTGTTCCTTCTGTACTTCCTCTGCCTGCTGTGGTTTCTAGACTAGAAGCACAGCATCTACAACCACTGTATTTGCTTGGCAGGTAACTCTTAACTGTGAACCAGGTGAAGGTTGACAAGAGCCGAGCTTAGTTTCACAGTCAGCAGTTCACACACATTCTCTTTGAACTCGCCCATCACAGTTCTCTCCACCACCACTGCTTCTCCCACTTCCTCCCTGGGCTTCCACTTCCTCTCTCAGCCTTCGGGACATCTCCGTACTGCCCTCCTGATCTCAAATGACAATCATTGTCTTCACCTCCTGCTCCCCGGTGACAGAAGTGTGGCACCGTTAGGCAGATGGACTTGTATACTTTTCTGATATCACTCTAGATGGCATTTTGATCCAAACTGACTGGTCTGTCACAAGGGGCACCTGGGGGAGATACACTCTCACTTCTAGTCAGGAGGGCATGCACCTGGCCAGTTAATCTGTTGGGTGAAGGCAGATAGCTACAAGAATGTGGGTCTTTGTGTGTCTGTTGGCTAGCAGACTCTCCCTTCCAACAAGCAAACAAACAAAATCTATATGAAATAAACTTCTCTCCTCCAGTGCTAATTAAGGTTTTCAGAAGGCCTTCTGCAGCGGCATAGGAGCAGGCAGCTCGGCAGTTGAGTGTTCGGATTCCCCGGAGAGCCAGGATGTGCACTGAATGACTGGCAGGTGTCTCTCCCCTGACCTTGGTCTCTCAGAGTGTTGGTGGCTGGCTGTGTGGGACAGCTGTATGCAAGGGCCCATCTGTGTTGCTGTGAGTCCTGCCAGCGGCTTTTACCTGGTCTCGCCTTTCTAGATCCTGATTGGTTGATTAGCTGGACTATTAGATGAGCCCAAAGTAGTCCTCCCCACCGCCCCCCATTGTTTGTTGGATTTTAATTTCGAGCCTCACATTTGTCTATTGCCAGAGACAAGATAAGCACCGCTAAAATGTGCAAGATTTATTGTTTCATTTTGAGGAGAGCTGGGCAAAGTCATTTGCATGGAATTAAGACTTGGGAGACGATGACAGCTAAAATGAGAATCTTATTATTTAACCTGCCACTTAAGAAAATCTTGTAGTGGACCTTCCAGGCCTGTCCAGTAGAAGCCAGTTTCTCCAGCAGGCAGCACAGGCTGGCCCTGCTTGTTGGACACCGCCCTCGTCCCTGCTCCTTACACTCCTCTCAGGAGGCCGGCAGCCACTGAAGAGAGGGGCTGTGTTCTTTCCTAGCGCTGTGCCTTTGCCCTGCTTGTTCCCCTGACAAAACCGAGCCCATCCCAGAAGAGTCACTCACTCCCAGCACGCTCTCTGAGGCAGTGCGGGGTCCTTTCTCTTTCCCCTGCCAAACCCATGCCAGGCTCACTGCCATGGAATCGATGCTGCCTCAGCCATCCTATAGGGCAGGGCAGAACTGCCCTGTGAGTTTCTGAGACTCTAATGCTTTATAGTCGTAGAAAGCCCCATCTTCCCCCGAGGAGTGGCTGGTAGTTTTGAACTACTGATCTTAAGAGTTAGCAGCTCAGCACTCTATTAAGGCCTCCAGCACCCACCACATGGTCCTTTAGTTGTGCACCAGCAGGCTCTGGGCCCTGGAGTACCGCTAGCCAGATGAATGAATGAACTCAAATATCAACGCTGGTTTGTTTCTTCTTGCCAGATCCCCTCGATCCTTCATTTCCAGTGGAGTTTGTGAGACACGGAGACATCATTCGCCTAGAACACAAAGAGTAATTACATTTGCTGTTTGGGGTGAATGAGGGGCATAGGCACCAAGGGCAGGGAGCTCTTTCAAGCTGGAGGTAAATGGAAGTGACATGTGGCTGAAGACCCAGGAGATGAAGCAAGATGCTATAGTAAAATGCAAACCTATAGTGACATTTGGGGAAACTGGGCCGCTTTTTGCTTATTTCTTTCTGTTTTGGAGCGCTTTCAACTTTGAGGCACCTTTCAGTGGTTTCCCTTTTGCTGGAGAACAAAAGGAGGGGAATTGAAATTAATTGGACCTTCTAAGTAGCCACCTTTAGAAAGATCTGGGAGTCTCTCCCTGAAGGTGCCAAGTTCATTTAACCCATGTTCTCCCTGAAAATGCTGGGCTCGTGTGAAAGCATGTTCTCCAGAGAAGTAGAGGGCAGACAGGTTGCAGGGGGCTACCATGGCACCAGGGAAGTGCTAGAGGGGACCTAGAGAAATAGACAAGACCCTACAACCACGTGGGCCTTTATCCCGCAGTCTTGACTGAATCTTTTATGTCGGCCCCTCATGAGGGGGGGTTTTAAAGTCAAAGCTCTAGGCTCACCCAAAGTGGTAAACAGTATGATGCTCCTCCAAAATTTGGAGCCCCCAAAGGTCACCTATTTTTGGTAAGGATAAGCTATGTTATAAGTCAGTCGGCTCCAGCCATCTAGCCTCAGGGAATGGTACTCTGATACTGAGCAGAGTGGGGAGTAGGGAGGTATGGGAGAGGTACTCTGGTACTGAGCAGAGTGGGGAGTAGGAGGGCATGGAGGAGGTACTCTGGTACTGAGCAGAGTGGGGAGTAGGCAGTCATGGAGGAGGTCCTCTGGTACTGAGCAGAGTGGGGAGTAGGGGGGCCGTGGGAGAGGTACTCTGGTACTGAGCAGAGTGGGGAGTAGGAGGGCATGGAGAGGTACTC